ATAACAAAGCAGTACAGTTAAACCAAACCAATACAGGGGCTGGTCCAACACCACAACATCGGGATAGCAGTAACAGGCAGCTGGAAATGCTCCTCCACTTCCCTGTGCAGACTGTCAGCCTGTGGGCTCTCACCTCTGCCCAACCCCTGCTTCCAAGCCCTGCTGAGAGCCAAATGCTGGGAGCACTTAAGAGTGCATCAGCTGCCTGGAGTAACAAAACTCTCTGCATCGTTTGGATTCAGTTTACATGATGATACAGTTGGCTGGAAAGCTGAGCTGAAGAGGGAGAACTTTTCCCACATCTGGATTTTGAGCATCTAAACTCTTAATTAAGGGTATCTGATGTGTATGTGGAATTCCCAGCAATCCCCAGCCTCCCCAGGCAAGCACACACCTAAAAGTCCAGTAGGAGAAGGCATCTCACAAGCTACTTTTATGGTACCTTTCTGGTCAGGAAGGAGGAACAGAGAAGATCTAGTGTCAGTGGTAATGCGCCCTTTAACGTGATTATATTCATACTATCATAGCAAACATGAATTTTGTACAGCGTGTTTCTCCTGCCATTTTCTCTCCCTGTCCTTTGCCCTGCACTCCCTGGCCAGGCCTCCTGACTGAGATTGCTTTTTTGCTGTATGCCTTCATTTTCCCTGGAAACCTTCTGGCCTGCAGATCCCTCTGTATGAAGCTGTTCCCCCTGTTCCATCTTTAAGGCTAATGATAACACTACACACCTACCTACACCTGTCACCTGAACACCTGTAACCCTACACCTGTCATACCCAAACCCCTAAAACCACCTATTTAGAGAATTTCTGTTTCTTATTAATTTTGGAAGAAACTCTGCTTATCTGCTGTTGCTTGTCTTTTTCTTGCTCAGATGGGTCCTTCACCTTTTCCCAGCCTCTGTACGACTTCCAGGGCTTGGGTCTCACCTAAGCCTGGCAGCACAGGCGAGGGGACTGCTTGCACAAGCAGGACGTGCAGTGCCACCTGCTGATCTTTTTCTGTAAAGATCAGCTCAAAAGACAGCTTCTGATGGATGGCTAATTTGGGCCTCCTGGAAATTGAACTAGCATTATCAAAGGCCCAAACTTCAAGCAAACAGTTATATAGACATCTTTAGTATCTGAAATATGTAATCTTTGAAACAACAAGTTTAAAGAATGGTTAATAAGATAGAGACCTTTAACCTCTCAGCATCAGGTTTTTGCCTTCTACCCTTCTACCTTTATTTGGTATTTTGTTTCTTGCTTTGCTTTAGGCTACCAAAGACGAACTGGTGAGTTTTCAGATGCCCAACCACTACACAGAAAGAGAAGGATCTAGAGCTTCCCAACTTGCTTGGTTAGGACTAATGATTAAAGAGAACTGTGAGTACGCACAAGTTCACGGGTGTGAACAGAAATCTTTAAGCCATTTTCCAAGATAGAAATACTGGGATTAAATATTAAAAATTAATACCAGGAAGCTTCAACTGGTGGCTGTGCACCTATTTCCACTAAAGGCTACACTGCAGCAAGTATCCTAGTTGGTGACTGGGTGAAAAATGGCAGAGAGACACATTATTTGAAAAAAAGGAAATAAAATGGTACTAAGGAGGACCCATTAATGCTCTGTAATATATAGTTATGAATAACTCCAGAGGTCCTATTGAATCCCACTGTTGCTAAGGAATTGTTGTCATCTATAAAGACAACTAACATTATCAGTATCATTTAGCATTTCAGTTAGCTACAATTAACTTCACATTAGGAAGCTCTGAAAGTTCATTTTTCCTGGATGTCTGCAGCGATTTTAATCACACAGAACTACCACGACAGTACATCAGTGTTTCTGAGTCAAATGCCTCATACTTGGAGCTAAGGCCACCCACTTGGGAGCAGCACATGCTAAACCTCATACCACTTGAGCAGTACTTATTATAACACCACTGCTTACAGCAGGCTGTGTGGGTTGTACAGTACATTAATTTACATGTCATCACACAGAATGCTATCTCAGCCAACATCTATTCTGGTTCTCTTATCAGGGTGGATATTTGAGCGTGGGGTAGTAAATGGAAATGATACTAACGTTTTTCTTTTTCACTTATGAGACAACATCTTGGAGAGCACCAGTTACACTGAGCCTCCAAAAGAGCATCTGAGCTGCAGTGTCTGAGCTGGTAACACAACTCCTGGCACCGGTCACGAGGTCAGCACAGGATCACCACTGACCATCCTCTTTCCCAGCTCAGAGAGAAAGCCTAACCGCAGAGCTCATGGCTGAGCCAAATCCAGTAATCCTACCGCTTCTCTTCGGCCTCCAGAGCAGCACCCAGCACACCTGCCCGCAGAGCACCGCTCGGCAAGGAGCCCCGAGCCTGTTCCTCTGCAGTGCACGCACACCTAGGCACACCGGAGCCACGGAGCCTGAGCTGGAGCTCAGATGCGGCCACATCCTACCCAATCCTTATTAAATTCTACAGCAATGCCTGGCGGTACATTCCTTGGGTGATCAACTCACTTTGTATCACACCGCTAACCATCACCACCAACAGACAAAATCCAAAAGGTACCGTCATTGACAGAACTGATGTAAAGCACATGAAATGTCTTGGTTGTGTTTGTCTCATTTTATTCATGCCTTTCTGTTACTGAACACAACCCTTTAATTCAGAACATTTTTAAAGCAGCCTTTTGTACTCCACTATGATCCCAAGAGCAATTCAGACCTATAAAGGTTTTTATTTAATCACTTACACTCAAGGTCTAAAAATAAACAAATAAACAAAGGAAAACCACCAAAACGAAAACCAACAAACGAACAGAGAAGTCTGCAGCTGCTGTCCCCTTGGGGCTAGGCTGCTGCAGATATGTTTTATCTCCAGGTTTCCATGTTGCCACACCCTCCGAGGCGCCCGAGCGAGGGCCGGGAATGGGAGCACACAGCTTGATGAATGAAGCCCTTGTGGAACGCGTCAAAGCTGGATCTCGGTAACCGATAGTGCGAGGCGCTGCCGCCGGCAAGAGCGGGCTCGGTCCTCCCTGTCCGGCGCCTCAATGGCCCGGGATGTGCTCCGCTCTAGCGCCAGCTCCAGCGCCGACACCGGCTCCGCTGCCGCGCTCCCCGGGCGCGCCCGTGCCGCCCGCCGGAGGGGGTGTGTCCGCCAGCCCCAGAGGTGCCGCTCGCCCGGGCTCAGCGAGACGCGGCCGCCGCCCCCTCCCGAGCCCCGCCAGCCCCTGCCCCGGCGCCACGGCCCCGCGGCATCCAGCCCCGCAGCCGGGCAGAGCTCGCCGCCAACTCGGCGGCCCAGGCCGCGGCTTCCGACGGCGGGAGCAGCGAGAGGGGCGCGGGCGGGACTGCGCTGCCCTCGCCTCCCTTGCGGAATGGGCGCCCAGTTCTGACTGACCCTACAGCGGCAGGAAACCCGAATCCCGCCGCCCCGGTACTTCCCTCGCCGACGCCCCGAACGCACTCGGGGGCCCCCGCCGCCATCCTCCCCTCCCAGCCGCGCCGGACAGCCGAGTTCGCTCCGCTCGCCGGCATCTGCCGCCGGCCCGCGCTGCCCGCGGGGCCCGGGCCGGTTCCCGGCCGGCGCAGGTGGGCGGTGGGCAGGGCGCGGCGGGAGGCGCTGCCGCAGCCCCGCCCGGGGCGGCCGCCGGCTCCCGCCGGACAAGGGGCGCTGATGACAGCCGGGGGAAAGAAGCGGGGCGTGAAGCCGGGGACACACGAGCCAGCCCCGAGCGAAGCCGGAGTGGCGCGGCAGGGCGGCGGGGGCGCGCGGGGATGCCGGGCGCGCCGCTGGCCGGGTTCATCCGAGGACAAGCGCTCGCTCCCGCCCCCTTCCCTCCGCCACCGCTGACCTGTGTGCACCCGGTAGTGCGCCTTGAGGTGGGAAGACTTGCCGTAGACCTTGCCGCAGCCGCTGTAGGGGCACTTGTGCCGCTTCTCGGCCGCCAGCTTCCCCTTAGGGGCGGCCCCGGCGGCGCGCAGGCGGGGGGGCGGCCCCGGCGGGGGGCTGCGGGGCGGGCTGGAACCCTGCTCGGTGGCCGCGTCGCTGTCGGAGCCCGCGTCCTCGTCGGGGCTCTCCACGCTGTCACTGCAGACGGAGGGGGCGGGCAGCGGCCGGTACTTGTTCAGCTCCAGCAGGCTCTTGGCGATGGCCAGCAGGGCGCAGTAGTCCTTCCAGGCGTCGCGGGGGTCGCGCAGCTCCCGGGCCGCCTCCCCCTCGCCCGGCACCTTCAGCCGCGCCGCCTCGGGCACGGCGGAGCGGTTGGAGATGGAGACCAGGCACTGCGCCGCTACGAAGTCCACGTACGCGACGGCCGACATGGTGCGGCCGCGCCCCGACGACAAGGGGGGCTCCGTCCGCCCTCACTGCTCGTCCGCCGGGCCGACCGCGCCGCCGCCAGCCATGGCCCGCCCGCGGCGCGGGAAAGAGCGGGGCGGAGGAGGAAGGGGGCGTGGGGGGCGAATAAATAGCGGGGCGCCGGGCAGGTCCTTCACCGCCGCCCCCCGGGGGCGGCGCGCAGTCGGCGAGGGGGGAGCGCCGCCCGCGCGGCCGGCCCGAGTCCGGCGCAGGGGCCGGGGGAGAGGATACCGCCCGCCCCGCGCCCCGCGTGCTCCTGCCCGGGGGCGGCCGCGCCGGGGCCCATCACGTCAGGCGCGGAGCCCCTCCCGCCCCGGCCGGTCCGCGGGCAGGGCCGGCCGGCTGTGTTTACTTTCTCCCCCCGCCACTCACGGCGCCCCTTTTCTAGGGGGGGCGTGTCCGCCGGGCGGCCTCCCAGCCAATCGCCGCGCTCCCTCCCCAGGCCGCGTGCTACTCCGGGCGCCCCGCCGCGACCGCTTAAAGCAGCGATGCCGGGGCGCCGCCGGGGCCGCGACGGCGGGGGCGCCGCGGCTCCGCTCCCCGCCGCGGGGGTCGCGCCGCCGGCCCGCCCGCGGTCCGGAGGAGCCGGCGGCGGCCTCGGGCGGGGGCCCGCGGTGGGGGCGACCCGGGGCGGCGGCGCCGAGCGGGTTAAGTGGCTCCCTGGAAGTCCTACGGTCCCAGCAACGGGCCGGCCAATGGGAAGTGAGCCGGCTGATGTCACTGGCAGCACTCCGCCAATCAGCGCCCGGTCCCGAAAGGTGCGCAACGCTCGGAGGCGCGGGGAGCGGCGGGCGCGGGGAAGGGCGGGAGAGGCGCGGGGATGCCCCGCCCGGGCGGGCTGTCCGTGACCCCGGCGCGACCCCGGGCTGGCCGCCCTGCCCTGCCCTGGCCTGCCGGTGCGCCGGCGCCCGCCCGGTGCGGCTCCCGTACTGCCTCGGGACGGGGCCCCGGCCCGCGCGGGCTGGAGACGGCAGCAGGGCGCTGTGCAGGAAGCGGGAGCCCGAGAAGCCCTCGGAGGAACCCGGTGGCGGCGCTGGGTGCTCCATTGCCGCAGCGTCATCGTTGAGACAGGCGGCTCCGTAAGGCGGGGCGGAGGGGAACCCGCTGTGCCCCCACGGCGAGCGGGGCAGGTGCCTCGGCGGGGGTCACCGAAAGGCACCCTCGGGGAAGGGCTTTAGGGCCACCTGATAGTGTCTGCCGTTTGGCCTCTGCTAGCGAACATAAAGGTCAGGTTGACACTTACCCCCTCGCCAAGTAAGTGCCATGCAGTCTAATCGAATCCCCAAAACCTGTTACGTCTACCCAAATAACACGCCCCCATCTCTGCCCCATCGAACGCGCAAAGCTCGTAGAGTGTTGTGAAAGCTGACTGACCTATGTTCAGCCAGAGAAGGGTGAATAATTGGGTTCTGGAGCAAGCACTGTTTAAAAAAAAGGAAACGAAGTTACCATCATCCCTAAGCCAGGAGTACCGAAGTGTGAAGTATGTCAGTGCCTTTTACTGCTCTGCAAGGATTAGGAGAGAGGGTAACAAAAAGATTCTGCCTTTGAAATAATGCCCGTGAGCCTCTCTACGGCATTCCCCACAGTAACACGGGTGCCTCTGAAATAAATCACCACCTAGATGGAGAAGCACTCCTCTCAGAGGAGCTTTTCCCGGCTTTTGTGAACTGCATCCCAAGCAGACTGAGTCCTGGCAGGCCAGGGTCCCTGACTGAATCAGCTGCAGCCCACCCTTCCTGACAAAACCAGACAGGGCCTGAATGGTGAGGAGCTTTATGGGTTGCTATTAATTTCATTAGCTGAATGTGGAAATGATGAGGAAGTAGCTACCGAAATGAGGCAGTGTTGTTCTGTTCCTGCAGGAGATAAAAATTAGTGATGTCAGCCATTTTGTATGCTAGCACACTAGGTCACTGTGTGTAACCTCGAGCAGCAATAATCCTTTGCCATGGATAATTGGCATCAGCCATGGATAAATTTATGTGCCATAACTCAGAAAAAAAATGCACAAACAAAACAAAAGAGCTAGAGGCTAGGTCTGTAAGTGGATCATCTGTAGGCCGATGAAGACCAAAGAGAGAATGTGAATAGAGCAATGTTTCTAACGAGGTGGTCTTCAGGTCTCAGTCATCAGTCAGCAAGTCACTCTTAACCCTGTTCTCACAGCATTTTTCCCAGCTGATCTAGCACCCGTTGGCCTCTGGTGCTGGAGAGACACCAGGCAGAATAAGAGGTGTGATCTCCAGGTCTGATAGGAAGGAGGAACAGAAGGCATTGTTGTTTCTTCACCACTAAAGCTGTTGATAAAAGTCTGGTTTCTGTATAGTACTGGTGCCTACAACCTTCTGTTTCCTTCAGAGGGGCAACAGCATTTTACACAGAAAACAGCATCTCAGGTTTGTTAATCTGGGTATCTGGGTGTCGTAAATTTCACAATCTGGATGTTTGTAATCTTTTTTCACAGCACTTTCAGAGCTTCTTTGGTTGACAGTGTCCCAAAGTTCCTGCTAGGAGATGTCCTAATCCACATTTCAGTAACATGCAAATAGCTTTCCGGAAGGTGACTTGCTTATTTCATGTCGGATACTCACGTTAGTAAACACCTCTTATATTAATTTGTACAGTTCAGTTCAGAGAGGAAAGTGTTAATGACAAATTAAAATAAAAAAGACAAACCTTTTTTGTTTACAAGCTTGTTTTGTTTTAAGGTAATTCTTGGCTAATGTAAAGATTAGAACATAATCTGTGCCCAGTTCCACAATGGGGAAGCATACCAAGCTTTTAAAATTATTCCAATATTCCTCCAAGAATATACTGCCAATTAAGACAATGTATTACCTTTTTTTTTTAATGTATCTAGTAGTCCAAAACCCCAAGACTCCAAGTGATTTAGGTCCAAACAATATTTAAATAGCCATGTCAATGTTATACAGAATTTTTTACTTGTAGACAGTATCAAAGTGACCATGTGTACTTTCTGAACGGCAACACACATGTGCCTGGAAACAGGATTGTGCTCACAAACCTGTTTGTCTCCAGATGATACAGGCCATCACTCAGATTTGACTGTGCTGATGGTTTCAGAGCATGCATTTAATCCATAGCTCGGTTTATAATTCACAGCTAATTTTTTGCAATAACTGGGCTAAACAAGGATGTTCTCTTAGACTGTACAAATGTGGTGTACAACTTGGCAGAGGGGTAGGACCTAGGTGATCTTTTAAAGTCCCTCTCAACAGAAACCACTCCACGGTTCTGAACCCACAGCAGCACTTAGATAAAACCCCTGACATCCTTTGTCCCCCGAAAGCCTGAAGCCCAAATTCATCCCACTGTTTAGGGCTCCAAACCAGCTTCTGGCGGGCAGATGTTTGCCCTCTGCGCAGTGCCTGGGCACAGGAATGCAGCACATCTGGCTGGAGTCAGGGTGGGAGTTTCAGCAGCTGCTTTTAAGGCAGCTGCTGGTTCTCTGCTCCAGAGGGACAGTGCACGGACAGGAGCTGTCGTGGGGAGCTGGGAGCAGTGAAAACGGTGACCCCCAGGTGAGTGAGGAAGGCACAGGTAACAGGCAGGGACTCCTGCTTGAGGGGAGCACAGGGAGATGCTGCAGGGGAATAGCAAAAAGCATGAGAAGTGAGGTTCAAGAGTCTGCAAAGAAGGTGAGGGAGAACAAGGCTGTGTGTTTGTGAGGGACGACTCTTCTCACCAGAGGGATGGGCACAAGTTCTGGGAGAGATTTAAGGCCGTGGAGGAAGAAGAGCTTTTTATTATTTCTGAGGCTTTCAAAAACATCTTCTGTTTTCAAAATCAGAACTTTTCAGAATAAAAACCATGTCAACCATCCTTTACTCCATGCCCTCAAGTCTTGTGCACCTGACCCCATGCCTAAAACATTGCACCCTCTTTCTGGAGGATGAGGATGACATGCACCTGGCAGGCACCTTTGGAGAGACCCAGACTGTGGGAACCCTCAAGTTTTTTGCTCCAAAAGCCAGTTTATGTAATGACCTTTAGTGCCACTGTGGCCAAAAAACCTTTATTTTGAGTAGCAAATGGTCTCATAAAGACAGTCTGTTTTTATGAATCAGGTGTTCTGCGTCAAACCTTGTTCTATGGCTTTTTGTGGGCTATTCTGTGGAGCACAGAGGCTTCTTCTCTGATGGTAACTTTCTTCCAAGACAAAATGAAATCTTTCTTTCTTCTGTATTAATATTTCCTAATATTTTGAAGATCACAGGCTCCAAGCATTCCAGATTCTGCTTTGACTTTTTTCATTCTCCAAGGCTTATGGCATAACCTCCAAATGATTTGACAAGATGCTGAGGGAATGATCAATTGTTAGCAATGGCTGAAATTATATATCAAGATAAACGACCTGTTCGCTGACATGTGTTCTTTAAGCCCATGGCCACGCTGAAAATTCATGACTGATGTTTTGGCAACATGATAGAATGGTAATTCAGCTGTCATATAAATATGAACACATTATATTTTACACATGTGTGGTATCTTTCATACCAATGCATTGCCCAGATTGTCTGTATGTATCATCAGGGGAATACAGCAACCTCTTCCACCAGACAACTGCCACAACTCCCATTGTGAAGGCTGGTGCGGTAGGAAGGAAGTGCTTTAACCTTTTGAAGGAATGGCTCTCAGTCACTGAACACAGAGCAGACAAAATGTTGCTTTATGTGATGCAACAGAAACCCTCAAATTCAATTTTTGTAGATCAGAAGGATTCAGCAGAGTTGCTTGCTACGTAAAGTCTTTCAAGACGCAGTAAGTATCTACTAGCAAACTGTCCTTCCATCTCAAAAGCAGCTGTACAGTAGAAGGCTGCTGACAGAACACACTTCTGGCCTGAAAATCCAGGAGTATGAGTACTATCAGTCTCAAATTCAACTTCTTTTATAAACAAGCACTGCGGATACAGAGCTGTGCTCCTTTCCTGTTTACTACTAAACTTACTGTTTACTACTTGGAGACTATGTTTCTCTACTCTTACCTTTAACTTCTTCTGGTCTAATTCTGCCCTTATTCTGCATGACAGGATTGATTGTGGTCTTGGTCTTGAGGTCCTTCTAATACCTCTTGAATTGCAGCTTAACTGCGAGCAATTTGGCGGCTCTCGAGCCCCTGTGATGGGGATGGCTCCTCCCCGCCGAGTTTATCTCCGCAGTGGTAAGCCTGCCGAGATGCTGTGCCTCAATGACATTACAGCCCGCTTGGGCTCCGGGGAGCTGCATTTCGGCTCGGTTTGGGTGTGATAGTGGTGTAGCCATGGCAGCATTGAACTCAGCGTGGGCTAGCTGCTTGAGTATGCACCCAGGATCCCAGATGGGTATTACAGCCTGCATCAGACACCACCCTGCAGTGTGCATATGGGTGTGTGAGTCTCAAGTTCAAAAGCAGAAAGCTAGACTAGAGTTAATTTGGGAACATCTACCTTTGACTGTCGAGAAGACATCCAGTGAAAAACAAGCTGGCAGCAGAACAGCCACAACATAATGTGGGGAATGTGGACTGGAGGTCAGCCTCCATTGGCAGCACTGGCTCAGAGCTCATCAGGTCAGTCTGTGGAGTGCTGTTGAATGTAAGGCCTTCCAAACTTCCTAATTAACACTGGCACAGGAGTTGGTGGCAGCTCTGCTGTTTCGCCCTGGAAGGCTGACACAGTGAAGGGATGCCGTGATACAGGTGATAAGTAAGCACCGTCGGGCAGCTCACTCTTTGGATGAGGTGTTGCAAAAGA